GAATGAGACTATTCATCAAATTTCAATTTAATATATAGGCCATCTTTGGACATGCACTACATATTAACAAAACAAAAATCATAATCTCCTAAATTGTCATTAATCACATGTCTGATCTACCTTTGGGCAACCGCTAGAACCATGTGTTAATGATCACAAATGTTTATCAATCTTTTAGTGTCATTCATTGATGCAAAAACCTGTGTACGATAAACATTTGTAAACATAAATAATTATTTAGCTATTTCCTTGAGTGGTCCACTTTGGTGACTAACGCACTCGCCTTATGCTAATAATTTATTTATGTGAATAAACCTTAATTTATGTTGTAACATAAACATAAATGATTATTTAGCTATTACCATGAGTGGGCCGCTTTGGCGACTAACACACTCGCCTTATGCTAATAACTCATTTATGTAAGTAAACCTTAATTTATATATATGTTGTAAACATAAACATAAATGATTATTAGCTATTACCTTGAGTGGGCCGCTTTGGCGACTAACGCACTCGCTTTATGCTAATAATTCATTTATAAACATATATATAAACTAATAGTGGATATAACCTCCAACATAATTGACCCCAAATGAGCCTATAATTTAAAGCAAGTCGCCTTAATGCCTTAAATAAACCAAAATAAGCCCAAATTAAATGAGCCTAGAATTTAAAGCCAATCCTCAATGCCTTAAATAAACCAAATGAGCCCAAATATAATCCCAAATTAAATGAGCCTAGAATTTAAAACGAGTCCATAATGCCTTAAATAACCCAAATAGACTCAATTTAATTGGCCTAACAACATAATCCAATAACCTTGTTATTGTATTTGAGCTCAACGATATTAATAGGCTGACCAAACAAAGTCCACAATACATGTTATGTTCTTCATCATATAACATGAACCCTAGCTGCCAACACCAAAATCTTATTATATTGCAGCCAGGAGAGCCATACGTTGGTTCCATTGATTCCAAATCCAAACATATACACATTACAGTATATACATACACATATAACATATGCTTGATTCCAAGAAAACAGTACGCACATTCATAAACCGAAACATGCGAATTAATTATTTCCTAACAAGAACTCCATCATGAACTCATGATAAAATTGATCCCAAATCTTGAAATGATATGTAGGATGAGAATCGATCCTCACTTGCGCATCATCCCAAAGAGGGAACGACTAGGAACAATCTCAATCTAATTTCATCAATAGTGACTCCATTCATTTTCAAAGTCTTGCAAACCCTTAGAAATTGTCTTGTGTGACTAGTTTGATCTTCATACTTTCCGCTCCCAAACTAATTAGCAGAAATAAAAAGAGATCATAGCTAACTTTATCTCAACGTTCTTGTCTTTCACTCAGGGGTATTAGTAGATATTGTCTTCCTCATCAATCTTTCCTACAACATAATCAAACAATATCATCAAGAGGTAGATAGCCTTGTGGTGGCATCCCTTAATATCGAGGACTAGACACTTGAGAGAAAATAAGCACATGTTCTTCATTTGACACTTGTTGAAAATCATTTTTGACTAGTACCCTCCTAGGATTATGAATGAAATGTCTTGCTTCGTGGTCTTGTGTATCATGAGGAACATTTTGAGAATTTAGAACATGATTTTGTACTCTCTTTTTTTTTTTTTTTTTTTTTTTTTTTTTTTTTTTTTTTCTGGAATATCACGAGTAGCACCTTGGCTTGTACTCTCCATGGCTACCTTTTGGTTGAAAAATGTCACATTAAATTGCTCCCTTCTCCTTTGCTTAACCCTTCTTTCAATTTCCAAGCCCCCCCCCCCCCCCCTGGACCTTGTGTGCCTATAAGTCAAAGAACGTCCCTTCAAGCAAAGCAAATGAAAGCACAAGGTAAGAAAAAGGAAAATAAAATTAAAGAAAAAAAAATTATTGACTCTCCTATAATATCATTCACCAATGTTAACTACCACAAAAAAACATTCAAAATCAAGCCATCCCCGAAAATGCCTCCATATTTTGTCAAACGGTGAAGCAGAGAGTTTAGGTGGGAAGGAGATTTGGAGAAGACATTGGAAGAAAGAAGAATAATGCTTGATTCATCTGGTAGAGTTGAGTTCTCTGAGAATATACACGAAGCTAGTAGAAAAACGGTTACAACTGAATCTTGATTAGAGAAGACTAATCTACCCCTGACTAATATCTTATTTTATGGGCTATATTGTCTAATACCCCCCCCCCCCCCGTAAGCTGGCGCATGTAGATCTTGCGTGCCCAGCTTAGACTTGAAGTTCTGAAATAGGGAAGTAGGAAGGGCCTTAGTAAATCCATCAGCCACCTGGTTTGATGATGAAACAGACAAGAGTTTAACAAGCCCTTGTGATATCTTTTCTCGAACAATGTGGCAGTCAAAATCGATGTGCTTTGTACGTTCATGGAACACGTGGTTCTTGGCTATGGCAATAGCAGATTTGTTATCACAAAATATGGTTCCCGGTTCGGTTTGCATGATCTGCAAATCATGAAGAAGATATATGAGCCATTGGACTTCACAGACTGTAGAAGCTAACGCACGGTATTCTGCTTCTGATGACGACTTCAAAACCGTGGCTTGTTTCTTAGACTTCCATGAGATCAATGCCCTTCCTAGGAAGGCACAGTAGCCAGTGATGGACTTCCTAGTCTCAAAGCATGTAGCCCAATCCGAATCTGAAAAAACTTGGAGCTGCAAGTTTATATTGCTAGGATAAAACAGACCTTGGCCAGGGGATGCTTTAATATACCTTAGAACTCGATGAGCTGCTGTCAAATGTGCGTTTGTAGGGGCATCAACAAATTGGCTTAGTTGCTGGACTGCATAGGTGATGTCCGGCCTTGTAGCTGTGAGATATAACAACCTGCCCACTAATCGTCTGTAGCTGCTGGGATCATCAATGAGCGTGCCATCACTATGAGTCAGAGTTATTCCTTGCGCCATTGGTGTACATGCAGGCTTACACCCAAGGAAACCAGCTTCATCTAATATCTCCAGTGCATATTTTCGTTGGCATAAGTTCAAATATCAGCAGACTGCTTAGCTTCAATGCCCAGAAAATAGCTTAGGCTGCCTAGATCTTTAATCTTGAATGTACTGTCCATAAACTGCTTGAGTTCTTGAATCAGATTTAATTTTGCACTAGCCACAATAATGTCATCAACATACACTAATAATACAATGAAATCAGTGTCAGCTCCCTTTGTAAATAGAGAGGGATCAGATTTAGATTGAGTGAAGCCAATTTGAAGCAATGCCGCATTCAACTTTGAGTTCCATTGCATGCTTGCTTGCTGTAAACCATATAAAGATCTTTCCAACTTGCAGACTTGGTTTGGCCTCTCAGCTTGAAATCCGGGTGGTAACATCATGTATACTTCCTCATTCAAGTCTCCATGTAAAAAGGCGTTATTGACATCCATTTGATGAATGTGCCAAGCTTTAGAGGCAGCAACACATAGAAATGTCCGAATTGTGGTTATTCTTGCCACCGGGGAGAAGGTTTCAACATAATCTATCCCAAGTTGTTGTGTGTAGCCCTTGGCTACGAGCCTTGCCTTGTGCCTTTCCACTGTTCCATCTGCTTTAAGCTTGGTTTTATATACCCATTTGCAGCCAATGGGTGTTTTGCCCGGAGGAAGATTGGTTAGAACCCAAGTGTTGTTCTCTTGTAGAGCTATAATCTCTGCATTCATCGCTTCTTTCCAACAATTGTGTTTAATAGCTTGGTTGTAGGTCCTGGGCTCATTTATAGCAGTAACAACCATTGAAAAAATTTTATGAGGCAAAGTGAGACCACTGTAAGACACTACCTTGGAAAGGGCATGAGGTGATGTCTTGTTCTTTGCCACTGCCTCACAATAATAATCCTGCAATTTGCATGAGACTTATCGCTGCCTATTTGATCTTCTGTGAGGAATGGATGGATCAGGTTGCACATCATTGCCACCTGTGTTGTTTGAATCACCACAATATGAATCTGCTAGTGTAGGACTCCCATCAGGTTCATGTTGGGCAGTACTGTGAATGCTCTCAGTATTTATGGGCTCAAAGGAGGGGGCTATTGGCATAGGTTGGACAGTACTGCTTCTGTTTCTGCTTTCTTGGGGAAGATTTACACTTAATTCTTGAAAGTTAAATTCTTCACAACACTCAGTGGGAATAATTGGTAGAGATGGTTCAATCAGGAGAACTCTCAACCATACTTCGATTCTCCTTCCCAAACGGAAATTGTGTTTCATAGAACACCACATCACGAGAGGTGAAAACCATCTCTTCATGAATATCATAAACCAAGTAGCCGTTAACATTTGCAGGAAAGCCAAGAAAAATACCCTTTCTGCTGCGCGCATCCATTTTATGTCGTGATTGAGGCAGGGTGGAGGCAAAACATAGGCATCCGAATACCCTGATGTTGTCCAGGTCTGGACTCTTCCCATGTAGACGTTGATACGGACTCTGCCATTCAATTATGGGAGAGGGAAACCGGTTGATGAGGAATGAGGCATGTAGGACGCACTGTCCCCAAAACTTCAGGGGAAGATTGGCATGAAAACGGAGGGCTCTGGCTACATTTAATAAGTGTTGATGCTTGCGTTCCACCACTGCTTTCTGCTGGGGCGTATTTACACATGATCGTTGGTGAGTAATGCCATGTTCATCAAAGAAACTCACCATGTTGAACTCCATTCCATTATCACTGCGTATGACTTTAATAGGTAAGCCAAACTGTGTCTGAACAAACTTATGGAATTTCTTGATCAACTGTTGTGTCTCAGACTTGGTTCTCATTAAGTGCAGCCATGTGTACCTTGAATGATCATTTACGATGATTAAAAAATATCGTTCCCCCCTAACGATTGAACCATGAAGGGCCCCCAAATATCTACATGTATGAGTTCAAAGCAAGCTTTTGACATAGTATTACTTAGTGGGAAGGGGGATCTTTTGTGTTTAGCATAGTGACAAACATCGCAGGCTAAATGCTTAGTACTAGGCACATGAAAATTATGTAAATGCTGCATCTTATTAATGGGAAAATGTCCCAACCGTTGATGCCAAATTTCAAGGCTACAAACATAGCATAATGTGTGCAAGAATCTCTATAGTTTCTTGGTGGTTCAAGCAGCAAGTATAGACCCTTTTCCTCTTTAGCAAAACCAGTCATCTTCCCATGTTTCTCCCGAAGTAGGCACTGATCAGAGGTAAAGATTAAAGTGTAAGATGAATCCTGAAGGAGTTTAGTAACAGATACTATGTTGAATCGAAAAATTGGAATGTGAAGAACATTTCTCAACCACAAGTCATCATTAAGCTTTATATTTCCCACATGTTCCATTGCAATATGTCTTCCATTTGGTAAGTTAACCAGAGCCCCTTCAACAGTATGGTAATCATCAAACAGATCTAAGGAACATGCTATATGATCAGTAGCACATGAGTCTAATATCCATACAGAAGAATCCAAGGTGACTGAATTAACATGAAGATTGATTGAGTGTCTACCTTCTCCTTGAGTGACCTCCTTGTTAAATGTAGGTATGAGGGAGACATCAGCAGTGGTGGAAGGTGTATTCTGCCCAATCTGAGTCTGTAAAAGAGAAATTAGCTTCTAAATTTGATCCGATGGAAGGTTGACATCACTGCTCGTGGAAGCTGCCATTACCTGTTGTTTTCCTCTTGATTTAAAACCTTGCACCCATCCCGGGGGATAATCGTGCTTCTTATAGCACTTTTCCGCAGTGTGACCACTCATGCCACAGAATGTGCACTTAGCGGCCTTGTTTGAGCCATTGTTGTTCAAGTTTTTCCTGCTGTTGAAGTAGTTAACTGCAGCCATAGTGTCTTCACTAGTGATTTGTGTATTTTGCACAGAATTTGCATGAATTGTTTCTAGACCGCTCAGGTTCATTATGTTTATCTGTCTTTCACACTTTTCAGCCATGACAAACACTCTGTGAATATCAGGTAAAGGATCGAGGACTAAAACATTTGATTTAAGAGAATTAAACTCATCGTTGAAGCCTTGAAGAAACCTGATAATCTGGTCAACTTCACGTTCACTTCTGATATTCTCAAGGAGATCACACGAACATCACGGATCACATCTACAGACCGGGAGTGGTCTTAGTTCGTTCATCTGTTCCCAGAGAGATCTGCAATTGGTATAGTATTCACTGACTGATAGGTTTCCTTGCTTCAGGCTGTTCATCTGATTTTGGAACATCGAGATTCGGTGTGGATCTCTCTGAGCAAACCTTTTTCTCAAGTCGTTCCATACTTCCTTGGCTTTATCCATGTACAAGATGCTTTGTACTATGGATGGATGAACTAATTTGCAAATCCAAGAGCAAATCATGAGGTTGCACCGCCTCCACGCGGTGTATTGAGTGTGCGATCTAGCTGGTTTGGTGAAGCTTCCATTGACAATATCCCACTTGTTCTTCACCTCTAATGCATTACGCATTGCAATACTCTATGTACCGTAAGTCAAAGGAGGACTGACAAGAGTGGCGTTGGAGCTTTCGTTGCTATTCAGGTGAAGAGGATTCTCTATGTCCTCTGCACCATTGTTCCTCTGCGAATTCCTCTGTAGGTTGTTCGCCGGAGAAGCATGAGTAGGAGGCTGGACGATTGGCGTGGTAGGATGCGATCCCTAGATGGACTCTCCATTGCCGGAAACCGCTGCGGCATAGCTGATCTGTTGCCGCTCTGATACCATGTCGAACGGTGAAGCAGAGAGTTTAGGGGAGAAGGAGATTTGGAGAAGACATTGGAAGAAAGAAGAATAATGCTTGATTCATCTGGTAGAGTTGAGTTCTCTGAGAATATATAGGAAGCTAGAAGAAAAACGGTTACAACTCTATCTTGATTAGAGAAGACTAATCTACCCCTGACTAATCTCTTATTTTATGGGCTATATTGTCTAATATATTTGATTGGAAATATAATCTATCAAGTACCAAATTATTGTATAGGGAATTAGATATTTGTTGATGCAAAAGGGAGTTACAAAAAGTGAACCAGTCCTTGTACTTTGATTGCAAAGTCAATTAGGAAGTACATGTTTGTTAGCTTTTCACAAATGTCACCCCACGTCTTACGTGATGAGCTTTTTCTACTTAATTACCTCAAAATGGAGCTTTTCGTTCTAAATACAACTGATGGTTGTTTAATTCTTGAACTAGTTGACTCAAAGATAGATAATTCTTTGATTCTTTTTCTTGAGTCTTTAGAACTTGTGGATCGATCGAGTTAAAGGAGTTCAAGCACATGATTGCGTTAAACTAGCTAGACCTGTTAGCTAGAGCAGTAAATGTTGTATCCTATACAATAAAATGCACAGTACACTTGAAATTAAAGTAGTTTAATTTTATTTCATTATCTCCGAACCCCTAGGAGGAAGTACAGTCATTTATTGATTATATTATTTATAGCAAATTTTTGCAATTTAATTGCTTTGCTATAAAGTTGAGAAACCTTTAAGCCTTCCTAAAGTTTATTTCCAGAGGGGTATTGCTGAGAACCAAACGCCTTTGTCCTCCTTCCATCGAGATGCCAACATCTTGGCACACATATGAGCAGTAATTACACACACTTGGACAATACATAAACTTATAGGCATTTGTTGTTTTAACAATCTTGAACCAGTTGCTTAGAGTTTGTTGACCAGGATTGCCTTTACTGCCACCATCTGTAATATAATGACTAATGTCATATGATGAGGGATCTCCAGTAATCGTCCACACCTTAGACTCAGGGCATCCTGTGTATGCATAAGGGAATTCGATGTTGAGATCAGTCCACTCACGAATCACGCCTTTTTGTGAGTTAACTGGTTAGAATTGTATAGTATTGCCCCACCAGTAAACATCGTCTTGGACCACACTTTGCGGGCAACTCTGGGTTCCGGTGGAAGCTAGGTCAAGCCCGCCACCCTGGTCCTGGAGAAGTGGTACAACATAGTACTTGACACCGGCTCAGACAATCTTGCCACGGATATCAAGCACCGCGTCCTGTGCTTCTATAACTTCACAAAGCAAGATGGAGAAGAGGAAGAGAGAAAGGAGGAAGAATTGTGTCTTCATTGTGGCGATTGGTTTGTGGAAATGTGTATGGTATTGGACTATTGGTGTGAGGATGGGAGGGAAGAGACATATATGCATGATATTTATAGGTGAGTGAGAGCACATTGGTAAGATTGTTACAGGGGAATGTTCCCTATGTGAAAGATCAGTTGGTGTTTGATGCCAACTGATTGATTTTTCATCAACGGGTTTTAACATTCAATTCTTTTTTATTTTGTAAACCAGTTGTTGAATTTTTATTATTATTTTTTTAATATCATTACAAAGTAGTATATGTTCTATAGTTTTTCTATTGTTGCAACTCAAAAAGTCAATATCTCACCACCACCAAAATTTGGTCCTGTGACCTTGGGAGATTCACATATATGTTTGGTTGAATGTTATATCCAATTATTATGTTTGGTTGACTTTTTCTATTGTCATTATTTTTATTGATTTTTAACCATTGATTTTAGTTAATCCAGTGGTCAAGATCTATCCACAGTCTGCACCAAGGGAGGCTGCCGCTTCATATAAGTAAAAATGTTAAAGAAATATATTTTTTTTTTTTTTGAATGCTACTAGCTCTATTACATTATAGTATCTGTTCATATACTTTCTCAACTTATTGAAACACAGAGAGCTAATAACGCCTCCACTGAGGCTCGAACTTACAACCTTCCAAATGGAAGTCCAACCCGGATACCATTAGACCACATAGTCCTGGTTGTTAAAGAAATATTTAATTTAGAGTTTTAATAACTTTTACAGACTTCTTAATAATAAAAAAATAGATAAAAATAAATACAACTAAATTCAATAAATAGTTAAGGACTTTGTAGTCTAGTAGTACCAAGTTGCACTCTTATATAGGAGGTTTTGTGATTTTGAACCCCAGTGGAGACGCTATTGACTCTTTGTATCTTCAGTAGGTTATAAACTGATACTGCATTGTAATATAGTTAGTGGCATTCAAAAAAAATTCAATAAATATTTTTCAAATAAGACGTTTTTTGATTCCTATAAATTCTATAAAGAGTTTGCAAATAGTCTATAATAATTATTTAAAATCTATCATTTTAATAATCTATAAAAATCATTATCGAGTACATTTTATAATTCAATTTTTGGTAACATTTAATAACAATACTAAATGTGCTATTAAATACATAAAAGAAAAAGATAGGGGGGAGTCGCTAAAGTTCACTGGAAATGGGTAAGTTGGATAGCTCCGCAACAAGTATGGGTGAAGTTCAACATTGATGGTGCAATGAAATCTTCGTCAGGAATGGCTAGCGTCGAGGGCCTCATTTGCAATGATGGGGGTCTTTGGATCAAGGGGTTTGCTATTGACGGATATATTGGGAATCGACCCGAACCGACCCGAGGGCGCGAAGCAAGAACGGGTCCCGGGGTGGTGCCACGTACCCGCCCCGGCCGAGGCCTTGCCACGTGGCCCCCGCACGAGCCACGTTGGAGGCCGGGCCGGCCTCTCCAGGAGGTCGGACCGACCTCCACATGGGCCCGGTCCGAGCTCCAGATGGGCTCGGCCCGGCCCCCGCAGCACGGCCCGGTCGCGAGACCGGGCGCGGTTAACGCTAGATCCAACTAACCCCCCGTTTTAGGGGGAGGCGGTTGGGGGCTTGGCTTGTATAAAAGCCCCCCTCCTTGTCCTAACAAGGGGCATGCTATCTATGATCTACTTTACTTACACACTTTGTCCTGAAATACTACTGTAATAGCCAATCCTACGGCATTTAATACAATTTACGGTCTCACGGCCTTTGCTATATCGTTCGTATTACTTATCTATTATTTATTATTCATATTCATATCCGGATTTAGTGATTCGGGCACACCCCCGGGTTAATTAAATCCATCCTTGGTGCTCTTGTTGAGAGCTGCTGTACAAGCTTAAGCGCTCTCCCCACTATCATTCATCCACATGGATGGCAAGATCGAGATCCAGCTCTCGTCATACCAATGGTTCCCGCGGCACCCAGCTCGTCGCGAACGGGAACGGCCCCAACGGGGCCCCCGCACCCAGCATCCAACCGGCCGCCTCCACCAGGTCGGGGGAAGATCTGAGGGCCCAACTCACCAACCACCGTAGCAGTGGTGCACCGCCACCACCCCCTGTCGCCCCCGCTCCGGCTCGCGCACTCATCTAGGAGGGGGTGGCGGTCTTTGAACAAGCCTCCACGGCGCTGGCGCGCGTCGCGGCGGGCCTTCGGGCAGAGGAACAAGCCAACCTAGGTGCCACCCGAGGGGCACCGGCGTCACCTCCACCTCCTCCCACCCGGGGGCGCAGCGGTCCAAGCACTCGGCCACCCCAAGCACCTATCACCCAGGGGGAGGTCAACTCGCCTCGACCATTGGAGAGGCGGGGAGGAGGGAACTCCCGCCGAGGCCGCCAGCTCGACAGCGATGGAAGGGCACCAACCCAAACCAGGCCCGCCCTGGAGAGGTTAGGCGATCACGTGTCGGCCCGGGACAGGCTGGGTCCGAGGCCGGGCAACGGGCCACCGACGGAGGAATTATGCTCCTGCCGGCCACTGCGACAAGAATCGGTCACTCGAAGGTCACCGAGCCATGGGCCACGCGCCCAGTCGCGACACGAGGAAGCCACGCGTGGGTCCGCAGGGCGGGTCCCCCGACCCCACCCGCGACGTGAGCAGGCCTCCCGGGTCGAACGATCGGGTGAAACGAATGGTAGAGCTCCGAGCTCACATCGGGTAGAGGTCGAGCAGCTGGGGAGGAGGATGGACGAGCTCCAAAAGAAGATCGATGAGAGGGACGGATCTCCAGAGCCCCAGGATGTGTTGTCCTCCCCATTCGCAAACCCCATCATGGAGGAGCCCTTACCTCGAGATTTTCGCTTCCCCACCATTTAAGCGTACTCGGGGACCACGGACCCGCGGGTACACCTGACCAGGTACAGGGCCGCCATGATGATCACCGAGGCAACAGACGCCATCCTATGTAGGGGGTTCTTCGCCACCCTGGACGGGCAGACGCATGATTGGTTCGGGTCCCTCCTGGCGGGGTCCATCTCCACCTTTGCGGACCTCACCCGGCAGTTCCTATCCAATTTCGCCACCAGCATACAGCGGAAGAAGCAAATTGCCGACCTGTGTGATTTGAAGCAGGGGAGCTCGGAGTCACTAGCCGAGTACCTCAGCAAGTGGAAGAAAGAGGCCATGGGGGTCGCCGACTTTGATGGGAAGTCAGCCATGGTGATTTTCCGAAACAACTTGAGGTCAGGCGCTTTTCACCAGGACCTCATCAGGTACCCCCCCAGGACCTATACCGACCTGATGGACAAGGCAGCAAGGTACGCTGACGCCGAGGCTACCGAGAAGAGGAAGAAGGAACAGGAGGAAGGAAGATGTCGAAAAGA